CAAAGAATTAAGGCCTTTGAACTCTGGTGCTGGAGAAGACTTCTGCGAGTCCCTTGGACTGCAAGGCGATCAAACCGGTCAGTCCTAGAGGAGATCAACCCTGGCTGACTGCTCTTTAGAAGGCCAGATCCTGAAGATGAAACTCAAATCCTTTGGCCTCCTAATGAGAAGGAAGGACTCACTGGAGAAGAGCCTAATGCTGGGAATGATTGAGGGCAAAAGAAGAAGGGGACGGCAGAGAACGAGGTGGCTGGATGGAGTCACTGAAGCAGTCGGCGTGAGCTTAAATGGACTCCAGGGGATGGTAGAGGACAGGAAGGCCTGGAGGAACATTGTCCATGGGGTCACGGTGGGTCAGACATGACTTCGCAACTAACAACAACAAATATGAAACAGCCATACCACAAATGTGTGGTACTAGTTATGTGGCAAGGAAAGAACCGTGCAGATGGGAAGACACCGAGATCGGTCTTTTGGTTGACCCCAATGTTCACCCAAGATCAATGCAAAGATTTGTTTTCAATTCCCAAGAACAGGGGCAATTTCAGACGTTAAGATGGGCCAATGACTTTAAAAAAAAAACCAAGAATATTCCGGAACGTTAAGAGCAATGAAAATGAAAAAGCAGCTCCATTCTCTTTAGACAACCGTAATCAATCACTTCTACCTCGGTCTCAAATGACCCATATGACTGAAGTTTAAAAGGCTGCAGAAATGCGGCTCACAGAAAACATGGGGGAAAAATATCTTCCTAATGAATCACGTTGCAGTTGTCAACCCGAGAGGATTATTAACAGAAAATTAGTTCTGTTAAATGCCAGCAACCTTCAACAAACAGAACCGTTATCTTCACCAGGCCATTCCCAATTACAAACACAAAGAACAATTGCATTTTGGAAATTTTTCATTCCCTACCCAAGCAGTTTCCATATCCTGCCAAAGATATATATACAAAACCTTCCACGTCTAAAAGGGGTCTGTTGCAAACTTTTAAGTTCTTCTGGTCTAAATCATCTCTTTTTTTTTTTTCTGTGTGAGTCACAACATATCCATTCTTCTGCTCAGCAGTAGACATTCTTTTCCCGAGACCAAATTAAAAGAGGGTTTCTTAAGCAGCAGAAAGGAAAATGCTGATTGTAGTATGTTCGGAGACTATGGAATTTGGTGGCTGCTACCCTGAATCTTGCCAGGATCAACTACTAGAGCAGATAATAATAATAATAACTTTATTGTCATTGTACATGTATACACAGTATACCCAGACAATGAAATTCACTTAACATCCAAAGACCAGATCCAACACACATAACAATCCCCAAACCGATTAATTTAATTTATTTTTAGTTATCTTAACTTTTATATTGTATGTTATTTTAATTTTCGGTTGTTCACCGCCCTGAGTCCCTTCGGGGAGAAGGGCGGGATATAAATTCAACAAATAATAATAAAACACACCACAAACACTCACCCCTAAACCACCCAAACATCCACCCAACAGACCAAGTCATGCTGTCCAACAGCTCACTGATGGTGGCCCTTTAGTTCATGGTTGAGTGCAATTATAGCTCTGGGATAAAAACTATTCAGAAAACGTGCGGTCCGAGTTTTAATTGTTCTGTATCTTCTTTACCTTTCGATCAACAAGCCCAGCATCCTAGCCACTGAGCCATCGCATCCCTCTTTACACTACTATTGATCTTACAATCTTTTTAGACTGTTGCCTTCTGGCAGAAGTAGTAATGTAAATCTATAGTAATGTAAAGAGGGATGCGATGGCTCAGTGGCTAGGACGCTGAGCTTGTTGATTGAAAGGTCGGCAGTTCAGCAGTTCGAATCCCTAGTGCCGCATAACAGGGTGAGCTCCCGTGACTTGTCCCAGCTTCTGCCAACCTAGCAGTTCTAAAGCAGGTAAAAAAATGCAAGTAGAAAAATAAGGACTACCTTTGGTGGGAAGGTAATAGCATTCCATGCGCCTTTGGTGTTGAATCATGCTGGCCACATGACCACAGAGACGTCTTCAGAGAGCGCTGGCTCTTTGGCTTTGAAACGGAGATGAGCACCGCCCCCTAGAGTCAGGAACGACTAGCAGATATGTGCGAGGGGAACCTTTACCTTTATAGTAATGTAGGGTCTCCAAGCCAAATACCACCCTGTAAACTATGTTGCACACTTCATGGGTACCTTAATAAATCCGAGATTGTATTTGCTCTGGAAAGCATCAGGATAAGGACGCATCTCCAGACCAGTGAAAAATCACCCACAGCAAAGGGCACCCACCACCTATGCATTGCAGTTTATTGATACATTTTAATTTGCCAAGACCCAGTGCTGCTCATGAGAGCTCCTCATACCCAGTGATCTAATCCAGATGGTGCCATGTTTTTATTTTTTTATATCTCATAGCACAAGGGATGCGCTTCTGAGATCTCACAAGCAGGATGCAAGGACAACGGTGTTCTCCTATTGCTGCTTCTCAACTAACTGGATTTCAGAGGCACTAAGCTTGCTTGTCCTAGACCTCCACGTTTCACAGGGTTACCCTTCCAAACCATTAAGGACAAATCACCCCTTTTCTTATTAATGTAGTCCAAGCAATTCAGCCAACATTCAGTTCTTTATCTGTTTACAGCAATAGACAGAATCTTGCCAGACTAAATCTTTACTACTCCCACCCTAATGGATACTATATAACTTGGGAGATTCTCACAAGTGGCTATCTTTCTTACTCTCTTTCTCTTCCTAAATCATGGGCACTCCATCACTGGAGATTTTTAAGAGGAGACTAGGCATCCACTTGTCTAAATAGACAGTATAGGTTCTCCTGCTTGAGCAGAGGGCTGGACTAGAAGACGTCCAAGGTCCTGTCCTATTCTATTCTATTCTATTCTATTCTATTCTATTCTATTCTATTCTATTCTATTCTATTCTATTCTATTCTATTCTATTCTATTCTACTCTATTCTACTCTATTCTATTCTATTCTATTCTATTCTATTCTATTCTATTCTATTCTATTCTATTCTATTCTACTCTATTCTACTCTATTCTATTCCATTCCCTTCCCTTCCCTTCCCTTCCCTTCCCTTCCCTTCCCTTCCCTTCCTTTCCCTTCCCTTCCCTTGGATGGAAACTAACCAAGGAGAGAAGCAACCTAGAACTAAGGAGAAATTTCCTGACAGTTAGAACAATTAATATGTGGAACAACTTGCCTCCAGAAATTGTGAATGCGCCAACACTGGAAGTTTTAAAGAAGAGATTGGATAACTATTTGTCTGAAGTGGTGTAGGGTTTCCCGCCTAAGCAGGGGGTTAGAGTAGAAGACCTCCAAGATCCCTTCCAACTCTGTTATTCTATTCTATTCTATTCTATTCTATTCTATTCTATTCTATTCTGTTCTGTTCTGTTCTGTTCTGTTCTGTTCTGTTCTGTTCTGTTCTATTCTATTCTATTCTATTCTATTCTATTCTATTCTACTCTACTCTACTCTACTCTACTCTATTCTATTCTATCCTATCCTATCCTATCCTATCCTATCCTATTCATTCAGAAGAATTTGCTGTTCAGCAACAGCTACTGAGTGTGACACCTTATAGAAACTCTGCTGGAATATCTTTCCTGGGAAAACTTCCACTTCACTGTAGTCCACCACACTAGCAGCTCCGTCTCTCACAAGCCCATCACTAGTCAGTCTGGTAGGAGGAAAAAAAAAAAACCTAAGATGGGAATTTCTTAGATTTTGGGGCAGACACGATAAGTTCTCAACTAGATTTGAATTTCCTAGATGTCCAGAAATGTTTAGACATCTGCCAAAACCCTATGGACCAGAAGGATCCAACACAAACCCCACCAGGGAGTTCTTATTCCACTACAGCCAACACCATAAAAGCACCATGATGACAGTCCATTGAAATCAGAGACTGACTCCAGTTGCATTGAGATCCCAACAACAGATATTCTTGGCTCGTTTCCATGTCTTCTAAAATGCTTGCCCACCTCCTAAGTTATACCTACAAGTGCCCACTGAACAGAAAAATAGTGGGATGAAGGTATAGCTGCATAAATAGTATTTATGAGCTAAAGACTGGAAATATCAATCAACAGCTTCTTTAGGAGACCAAAAAAAAAGAAGCAGGAGGATTAATGTTGATCAACCTGAGAATCTAAAATCAGTTGCCTCAAGAGCAAATTCCAAAGAGATGATTCATTTACACAGGAACTAGTATGATTTCTAGTGAACCTTGTTCTAGTTGTCCTTGTTTTCTAGTTATATTAAGTGTGCAATGGCCAGAACAATAACCCAATTCGCAAATGCATCATAATATACAACTTGATTCACTGTAAATGGGGGAATTTGTCTTGTACATTATGGGAGCTAGGAAAAAGCAGAATCAGATTGTCCAAAATCCTCTTTTCAAAATTACCCGGTAAAATATCAGACAAAATTCTGATTTAGGATGAAGTTAACATGGTGGCTCAGTGGCTAAGACACTGAGCTTGTCGATCGAAAGGTCGGCAGTTCTGCAGTTCGAATCCCTAGTGCCGTGTAACAGGCTGAGCTCCCGTTCCTTGTCCCAGCTTCTGCCAACCTAGCAGTTCGAAAGCACGTAAAAAAATGCAAGTAGAAAAATAGGGATCACCTTTGGTGGGAAGGTAACAGCGTTCCGTGCACCTTTGGCATTGAGTCATGCCAGCCACATGACCATGGAGATGTCTTTGGACAGCGCTGGCTCTTTGGCTTTGAAATGGAGATGAGCACCGCCCCCTAGAGTCGGGAACAACTAGCACATATGTGCAAGGAGAACCTTTACTTTTTACCTTTTAACCCAAAATGGGAAAATGAATCACCCCACAAATTTGCATTCATTCATTCATTCATTCATTCATTCATTCATTCATTCATTCATTCAGTTTTGTATAGCTGCCCATCTCAGCAACTGACTCTGGGTGGAGAGCAATCATAAAATGAATGAAAACCTTTGCAAGGAAGGCTCACTCCTTACCTATGTACAGTGAAGAATCCTTCCGCTTCACATGGTCATCGATGTAGGAGACTCCCAAAGGTTGCACAGGAGTTGCCCCGATCCCCAGAAGGACTTGTGCTCCGATGAGAAGCAAATACATCATGTTCGTAGCACTCCTGCTCCTGCAGATACGATCAGGATCTGGTCCCTCGTCGCTAGTGGATCCGTTGACTATGCAGACATCCCTCCCTTCAGCCCGCCATCGGATCTCTCCGGATTCGTACTCATACTGATAGGTGAGGAATTCTGGCAGAGCTGAGAGAAGGGCTCCCAAAGCCATAATGATCCCACCGCATCCTATCAAACGTGGCCGGTGTCCCCGGGCACCAAAGTAGCTCACAAAAAGGATGAGGACCAAGTTGCCGATCTCAAAGCTACTGGCGATCACCCCAACGTCAGCGCTCTGGAGGTTGAACCGCCGTTCCAAAGTGGTCAAGACACTCACCTGCAAGGAAAGAGAGCGAGAAATGAGAGATGGATCGCTTCCAAGCATGGCATCCTTGTGATGGGGAATCATTTCCCTGGCTTGAATTCAGAGGGACGCCAATAGCTCCTTTTTGAAAGACCTTGTACACAATCCAGTGAAAAAGGAGAACCAAGGGTGACAGGATAGCAGTCTTCCAATATTTGAGGGGCTGCCACAAGGAAGAGGGGGTCAACCTATTCTCCAAAGCACTTGAAGGCAGGAGAAGAAGTGACGGATGGAAACTAATCAAGGAGAGAAGTAAAATAGAATAACAGAGTTGGAAGGGACCTTGGTGGTCTTCTAGTCCAACCCCCTGCTTAGGCAGGAATCCCTACACCACTTCAGACAAATGGTTATCCAACATCTTCTTAATAACCTCCAATGTTGGAGCATTCACAACTTCCGGAGGCAAGTTGTTCCACTGATTAATTGTTCAAACTGTCGGGAAATTTCTCCTTAGTTCTAAATTGCTTCTAGATTCTAAGTAATCTAGAGCTAAGGAGAAATTTCCTAACAGTGAGAACAATTAATCAGTGGAACTGCTGGCCTTCAGAAGTTGTGGGTGCTCCAACATTGGAGGTTTTTAAGTAGAGATTTGACAGCCATTTGTCCAGAATGGTATAGGGCAGTGACGGCTAACCTTTTTGCTCTCGCGTGCCAAAAATGGGGGGAGCACGGGGGATTTGTGGGCGGGCGTGCCCACACCCATAATTCAATGCACCCCGCACATGCATGCGTGACCCCCCCACTCCCCCAGCTTTTGGCAAGTGATGGAACAGTTTTTCACCCTCCCCAGGCTCCAGAGGCTTTCTAGGAGCCTGGGGAGGACAAAAACTGCCTTCCCAACCCCACCCGGAGGCCCTCTGGAGGCTGGAAATAGCCCGTTTCCCAACATCCAGTGGGCCCAGAAGGGCTGAAAATCAGGTGGCCGGCGCACGCATGTGTGTTGGAGCTCAGCTAGGGCAACGCTTGTGTGCCCACAGATACGGCTCCGTGTGCCACCTGTGGCACGCATGCCATAGGTTCGCCATCACAGTTATAGTGTCTCCTGCTTAGGCAGGGGGTTGGACTAGAAGACCTCCAAGCTTCCTTCCAACTCTGTTATTCTGTTAAGGGCAGACTTTGCACAATACGTTTCACCCAATTGGCTCATTTTCTAGCGTTCTGCAATACACTGAATCATAAACGTATCAAACAGGTCTGGATCATGCAAATTGCAAAGCAAAGGAAGGAAGGAAAACTAAGCTTAGAATGCTGTGTGAATACAGCAACTAGACACAGCTGGTGAAAGTGTGTTGTGAGAACACACTACAAAAAGAGAGAGAGAGAGAGAGAGAGAGAGAGTAAAGGAAATTAACTTTTTGATCTGCCTTAAAAATTCTAAAGCAAACCTAACCTCTTTTTCTTTTCCATTTCAAAAATTCACAACATGCACTGAAGACTTTGCCGTCTCTGGAGAAAATCAGAAATAGCCAGGACTGGAGGCAATGGCAAAGTTTTCGAATATGCACCCTTCAAAGCAGAAGATGCCCTGAAGCCAACTTCTAAGGAGGCTCTGGAAGCGTTTGTCATCCCACAACAACTTCTCCCAGGGTACCTGAAGATGCAGAGGGGGATTGAAAAGTTCATCCATTGGGTGGGGAAAAGAATGTGCACTTGCGGAAAAATACCAAGATGGTTCACAGACAATTCTCAACTGCAACTTCTGTCCCCCAGCCTAAATTCCACCTGACCTGTCCCAAGGGTGCTTTTTTGTTTTTGTTTTTTTTTTTTGTTTGTTTTTTTTTTTTTTTGCAAAAAGAAACCGGATTTTCTTGTTTTTCCCTTGAAAACATTTCTCTTCTCATCCGAGAGAAATGAAATGTCTGCAAGGAAGGAGAAAAATGTCTTTTGAAAAATGTCTTTCGAAATGTCACTGGAGGCTTTCAAGAAGAGCTTGGACTGCCATCTGTCAGAAATGGTCTAGGTAGGGTCTCCTGCTTGGGCTGGACTAGATGACCTCCAAGGTCCCTTCCAACTCTGGTTAAATCTGTACTCTGTCGTCAGTCTTCTTGTTTGAAGAACTGAAGGAACTTCTTGGATGAGAAACAAAACGTCTTCAAGGAAAAAAAAAAAACATCTTCTCGTTCCTCAGATCTGAACGAGCTTCTTGGATGAGAAACCTTCCCTGTTTATTTATATATATGAATGTGAATGAGATTTCACAGAACTAGGGCTGTAGAGCATCTTAGCTTACGTAGCTTACGTAGGTAAAACCTGGCTAGAAAGAATATGCATATATATATATATATTATATATAGAGAGAGAGAGAGAGAGAGAGAGAGAGAGAGAGGAGAGAGAGAGAGAGAGAGAGAGAGAGAGAGAGAGAGAGAGAGAGAGAGAGAGAGAGATGGGCATGGCAGGGGAAGGATATTGTAAAATCTCCATTCCCTCCCCACTCCAGGGGAAAGATACTGTAAAATCTCCATTCCAAACATTGTGCTATCATCGTTGGATGGATCTGCTACCATCGTGGTTTGTGAACCAGAGTGAGTTTGTTATTCTAACCAACTACTGTTTGTGTGGTAAGAAGATTTTTGTATCACTGGACTGATTTAACTGGCAAAGACTTGGATTGATTTAAAGACTATGAGATTGTTTTTTCACTATAAAGTAAACTTTTGATAAACCAGTTTGCACATCTCTTATTCATTGCTCTCAGCAACGTTTCTCTGTGCTCTACACTCTGCTGGTTGGTAACACAACAACAATATCCTTAACACCCTCCCCACTAGGGGACGGATACTGTAAAATCTCCATTCCCACCCCACTCCAGGGGAAGGATACTGTAAAAACTCCATTCCCACCCCATTCCAGGGGAAGGTTACTGCAAAATCCCCATTTCCTCCCGATCAGCTGGGACTTGGGAGGCAGAGAATAGATGGGGGCAGGGCCAGTCAGAATTTTACTACTAGTTCTCCGAACTGCTCAAAATTTCCGCTACCAGTTCTCCAGAACTGGTCAGAACCTGCTGAAAACCACCTCTCCTGTTACACAAGAAGCTTGTGGCAAAGCAGACTGTTGTCTGTGGCAAACCGGATTGCTAAAATGCTTCCCTCCCTCCCTCCCCATCTTTTTGGCAACACCTTTTTTTTCAAAAACGACCCATTCCTCTCTGATAAGCCGCAAGTGCTGAGAATTCTAACCTTGCTCGTGTCATGAGGGATGCCCATTTATGGCCCTGGAATCTGCTCTGCATTGCAGTGATAAATTGCTGTAATAAAAGTGGCAAAGCAACACAAAAGGAGCAGCCACTTGTGTTTGGTCCCACAAACAGGCAGAGCTCTTCGAAAGGGGAATGGGACAATTTGCCACGGCCAACTCGCCACGGGACAATGTAACAATTCCATTTCATTATTTAAAATAAATTACAATTCTTTTCATTTTGCCGCACGCATTTCATTCTGCCCCCTTCTTTGGCCTCCTTTCTTTAATGATTCTATTCCATTATTTCTTCTTCTTCTTCTTCTTTTTGAAAAAAGTTTTTTATTTTTATTTCTTATACACATAATGTAAATGTACATTCTCTTATCCATAATTGATCATATAGTTACATATTTTTTTCTAACGAAAGCTTCAAAATAAGACATTTTAATCACATTTGGGGTTGCTCTTCTACCCTCTCTTTTTCCCTCTTTTCACAACAAACCTTCTCCTTTCTTTCCCCTCCCTCCTCTCCTCTTCTACTTTCTTCCTCCTCCTCTCCTCTCCTTCCCCTACTTCCCCTTCCTCTCCCCCACTCCTCCTCTCTTTTCCCCTTTCTCATCTTCTCTCCTGCTCTTGCCCCTATCCTTTCTTCAATATTGGTGTAATTCTTGTCCTGCAGTGAGTTGGTCGTGGTGAGTTGGCCATGGTGATTTCGACACAGCGAATTGTCACAGACCCTGGTTCCCAGCTGTTCTGTCCCCGTCCCACACACGCACCCCCACAGACGGCCCGGAGTTAATAAGCCACACGACAAAGTCTTTGAAGATAAAGCTGGCAGCAACCCAGTGGCTAGCTGCCAATTCAGACTTTACTCACACAAAACAAAGATTAGACTGCAAGCATTCCGATAAAGCAGGCAAAGTTTCAGCAATACAAGGATTAGTCCAAATGCAGTCCGACAAGGCAGGCAGAAGTCCAGTAACGCAGAGATCATGGATTATTTCTAGTTTTTGCTCGTCACAAACTGAACCGGCCACCACACCCACATTTATACCCTGTGGGGTGTGGTCCAGTGACTCAGCTAATCTCTGGCACGCCTTCCCCTCTGCTGCGCATGCTTCTCCCTGCGCCACTGTCGAGGATCCAGCCAGCACTTATCTCCTTCGTCGCTGTCCACCTGTGGCTGCAGGGACGTGCTTGGCTCTGGGCCTATCTTTTGGCCTTCGGTGTCCTCCGGAGGCATTGCCAGAGAGGAGGGTCCTGGAGAGGGAGGCCTTGCCAACTCCTCTCCCTCACTCTCAGAGTCTGCATCTGTCGATAGCCCAGGCTCAGGCAACGGAGCCATAACACCAGCAGGCAAGCCATGGATGTACGTGGCTGTACATGGCTGTACATGCACAGGTGTTGTCCTACTTAGGAAATGGAGTTCAGGAGAGGGTCCTAAGCATTAATGGCAATACCTACTTGGATGACTATTTCCGAAAGAACCATGGCAGGATCAGCATGGTTGAGCAGCTGCCAAGGATGCCCTCTGCTCTTTCCTCCCACCCACACCCCAACACCAGGAAGGAGAAACAAACCAGGCTGCAAGGCCAACTGGGCCTCTAGAAGAAGAAAAAAGTCAACACTTCTAAAATAAGCGAAAAGGTATCTTATGAAAGCGAACTAAAACTAGGTATCCAAAACCTTGGTAGCATAGAACAATGGTCTTATCTTACAAGAAGGTAGATGCTAGGGCAGGGGTCAGCAACCCGTGGCTCTGGAGCCGCATGTGGCTCTTTCATCCCTCTTCT